TTTATACTATTCCCTAATAGACAAAAAAGTTTGAGAGAAAAAAAAGATGTGGCAATTTAAAAAAAATCAATTTGAAAAAAAAAAATTTTTGTTTATAAACAATAATTAATTATTAATAAACAATTACTGATGTTTAGTTTACTAGATCGATTCAGTAGATCAATATCTGCAACTCAAAAAAAAAATTCATTAAAATCCTTGCTTTTTTGCGGCAGTTATAAACGATTTCATCAAAAGTTGCTATTACGAGAGGAAAAAAGAAGCGTTCGTACTCAAAAAGAAAAAAAATCATTATTCGAAAAAATTCGCATTTCTGAGCAAAAAGAAAAAATACGTGTCTCCTTAAATTGTTCAAGGAACAATCCCTGTGAGTTTTATCGCAAACTTAAATTCACTTTCCCCCGGCCTGGGTGATTTGAGATGGAATGAGCCGTATACAAATGAATTTGTACAAGAGGGCGTGGCGTTTATAGTAAACCGAAAGAGAGTGTGTGTTTAGCAGAGACGTGACACCTCCAATAGATGTAGTACGTTCAGAGCACCATTACGTTGGGCCCATTACAAACCGACAGCTGAACGGAATTTCCTGTTGTAAACTAAACAGGAAAAAGAGTTGGCAAGAAGTCGTAGCACCTCCCACCACTAATGCCGTCTACGTTCAGTGAATATCTATTTTAAAATGAAAGCGCATTTCATTCTTATTCTTGGTAGTAAAGAAAATGATGACCAATATAATTGCAGCATGAGTTTTTACTGGATGCGGCAAAGGAGAAGATGTGTTTCTGCAAGGAGTCCTATTTATTCCCCCATTGATTGAAGGTCAATTTTAATTTAAAAGTCTTCAGTATTCCTCGAGACTTTGCTTTGACATTTGATCGATGTCCAATGCTCACGGGTGGGATGTCCGTATAATACTTACGCCTCTACACCGCAGCAAAAAATTAAAGTATTGTTCATTAGGAGGCCTTAAATCAAATAAGAAAATTGTTTTTGTCTTACTGCTTACTGCTTTATATTTTTATTTGTTTACCCCGAACGACTTCGGATACTCTGCATCATAAGATATACTTTTTCAAAAAATTGTGCCGACAGATGGCGCTGGAGTCGAGATATTTAGAGATCCACCTTTATCGCACGACCTTGATTAACGGGTATTAACTTTTTTATAAGAAGTGCTTCTGCAAAAAAAAAAAACGGACCCAAAACATAGACGGCGCTGGAATCAAGATATTTGGATACCCCTCTACAAGTTTACGTTCCAGATGACTTAGTAAAGCCCCATCCTTTAAGTATGAATGCAAAGAATCGCGAAAACGTTAAGGCGCCACAAATGTCCTAAAAACATCAACGGGTCATCGGTATATCAAGAAGAAGTGTGACGAATTAGAAAGAAGAACGGTTGGAACACCTATGACCCCGTTTGAGCGGGAAAACTCTTTTTTCCCGTGGAATAGCAAGATTTAAACTTGCGCAATACTTGCAGATATCTCACAGCTGGAAATAACATAAGTACATATACCATATGTTATCTCACCGCTATTATTCTTAGCCTATTAGTAAGGAGAGTTTTGCTCTTCAGCCCTTTCAACCTGAGCCAATAGTGTTAACATTACAAACCGTTTTCGCATTTCAACACTATTTTTGTATTGGTTAACGCAAAAGTCATTTTCAGGCGTCAGGAAGCAAGATAAGCAGTTGCTAGTTAAGAATAAACACCTGTGATATACAGAACGAAATCATTTTCATACGAAAAAAATCTGCAAAAATAAATCTCCGTAAAGTCGTTTGACGCAAAAGATGTGTGATTTAGCTTTAAACAAGTGTTCATGCTTAATTTTTTCTCACCAACATCTTAAGTGCAAAAGAATTTAGGTATTTATATTTTAGTAAATAATCAATCGAACCCAGAATGCGGTCATGCACCAGGATTGGGACCGCCACGTAAAAAAGCCTTAAATGAAAGAGACAAAAAAGCCTTGAATGAGGCCCCCTACTTTTTATTACATCCACAGCAAGTCAAAAAACCACGATTTGAGGGCAAGCACCTGGAATATCATTACTCTTAATGGGAAAATTGCCTCTGTTCGGCTGGTTGATAACCTCAGGAAGACTAGACTTGCATCCCTGCCATTCAAGAAATGCGCTGACAAGAAACACCTTGGGCGATGCGACGTTTACTCCCCCCGGTAAAATATCGTCAACCAACAAGCCGCATCAAAGCGAGATCGCACTTACTTCCACCCACTCAGAGGCGGAAGAGATAGGCGATACGACCAAACACCTCTTCTTTGAGCGCTTAGAGCGCATTTGCTAGCGCCCTCCCCTTGACGATATACAAATCGTAGTTTACGATGGTAATGCAAAGATTGTCCCACTGTTACACACTTCAGGCTCTACGAAGAAGCGTCCGATAACGAACTGAGGCTGATCGACTTCGCAGGGGACTGAAGCATGATAGTCTTCAGCACTAAGTTCCAGCATTAAAGAATTCATCAGGCTATATGGCTGTCCCTGCCAGCTAAGCTATTCAGGTACGGTGGCAAGGAGTTGATAAGGCGCTTATCCAGAGTTTTATTGAAAGCTCACCGTCGACGAACTAAAGATGACGCTGCGCAATATAGCCAAATCGGACAGAACTCAACATTTCTTCGAGTCGTTTGGTATAAAACGAGTTTTTGGAAAATAAGACTCCATTGTGTCACTTAATCTGATGCTGAAAAAGATAATAAAGCTGAAGTAAAGTAAGGTAAAGTAAAGTAGCTGTTGTGAGTTGTGAAGAGTTGAATCTCTCCGGATACTACAAGAAAAAAATCCAGTACTTGGCTTACTTGCATAAATGCTGCAATTTGAATCGTGAAACGCAGAATACGTGGTATGGTTAAGAGCACATCCAAGTCAAAAACCAAAGCACACACTAGGAAAAAAATATCGATAACAAAAACGATAATAATATCGATAGGAAAATGAATAACAAAATCGATAAAAATATCGATAGCAAAATCGCTCGTAATATGGATAGAAAAATCGATGGCGAAATCGATAAAAAATATCGTTTATTATATCGATAAGTTCTGAAAATATCGGTAGAAAAATCAATAACAATACCGATAAAAATTCCGATAACAAAATCAATAAAAATATCGATAAAAAATCGATAATAATATTGATAACAAAATCGATTGCAAAATCTATAAATAAATCTATTACAAAATCGATAACAAAATAGAATTAAAATATAGATAACGAAATCGATAAAAAATATTGATAACAAAACTGATAAAATATCGATTATTATATCGATAATTCCAAAATCTCTAAAATCCCCAAATAGTTCCCAGAATGAGTCTATGTCTATATCATTTTCTCTATAATTACCTTTATCTTATGTTCCTCTATCTTCATCTTTACTTTTATCGGTATCCTCTTTTTTTCTTTATATTTATCTTTGGTTTTACTTTTATGTCTATCATATTCTTCATCTACATATTCCCCTTCACCTTTGCCTGTTATTCAAAAGCCGAAATACCTACACAAACATACTTGTGTGTCTCCTTCTCTCACTTCTAGCGCATGCACGTATTTGCAAAATGATGACAAAATGATTTTGTATGGAAAATTCTTTATGCCCATATATTTGAATCAAATAAACATATCTAGAAGATATCAACCAATACTTCCCATATACCAAATGAAAGCAAAGGTCTTGAGTTTTTGATTAAAGAAAACAAAAACAAAATCATTCGAGCGGTTTTCGAGAATTTAGGAAACAAAAAACAATTGCGAATTTTTTCAACAATTTTTTGTATTAAATATTTGTTGAATTTATATAAAATTTCTACTCGATAATATTTCTATTGCTCCAAGGAACCTATATCTCGAAAATGGAAGTTTAACCTGCGAATCGTAAGTTGCTATAGCACTTTAAAGGCTCAAAATTGACCTCAAAATAAGCCAATATTTAACGTTGTTTCTACGACAGAAACCGAATTGGTTACTTACAGAAATGAATCTGTTGATAGGTTTGGAATCATATCTTTGAAACGCCACACTTTTCTTTCAAATCGCTTCATTATTTCGCGTGCAATAAGCGTTTTCGCGAAGCTCTCAAAACTACAACATTTCAGCATAGCCTCCATATCGAAACGTAAGACGTATTCTACTTCAAAAAACACATGAAGCCCACCAGATGCTGAAATTATACATTTTCGTCTCTTTCTTAACACTCTGCACCACAAGAAACGAATAGGTTTACAATCCAGAAATTATCACAAATATTTACGTTTATAATGGACCGACCGCCACATTAAACCAATGAAACTTTGGCCATTTATATGTAAATTTGAAATTGCGAGTATAAGAAGTGGACGGGAGTGGACAAACGATAGAAAAAGAGTGGTAAATACAAGTTAGCAGTGAGAGTAAAGTGAATAAGCATTTATCGCTAAGCATTTAATGCTAAGTGAGGTTGTTGCCGAATATGCAACAGGAGCGCAGTTTATTCGCAGGCAGGAGTACCGCCTTTAAACACCACGCTCCTTCAGCCCGTTCCACCTACAGCGTTGCTAGACAACAGACGTGTATAAAAGAGGTATCGACACTTTGAAAGTGCATATCAAAGTGAACACAAGCGTGCAAGAGAAGTTTTTAAAGGCATTTAATTGCCAAAGTTAATCATACGCCCTGAAACACTTTGCAATAATGGATAGACAAACGGTCTCCGCTAAAATTTTAGGCAAATCTGTTTTTGATTTAGATTCCAAATAAAACTTTTGTAGTTGTCAGACTTTTTCAATTATTGTCTTCAATTACAATTATGTACAACGGAAAAGTTTTCTACTTTGCCTTGTAGATTTCCAACAAAGCTCTTAAGTTTAACCTTAACCCGCCGGATTTTCTTGCATCTTTTGTATTATTGCTTGTAAAATTTCGTACCTATTTATTACATAACGTTATATATATATATATATATATGTATACGCATTTAGTCTTTGTGTACTTACGTAGTTTTGAGCAAGGTCAGGATGATTCGTTTGTATGCCATCGTCGAGTATAGAAACGACAACGCCTTTGCCGGTGTAGCCTTTCTGCCAGGCGGGACCGATATTCATATCGAGGCCATCTTTGGCGCCACCATTCTATTGGGCGTGGGGATTTGTTGTTTTGGTTAATGTGGTTGATAATTATTTTGTTTGAAGTTTTCGTACACAGTTTATTGAGTTGATGTATGTTTGTTTACGCATCATATGTAAAGGCAAGAATGCGATATGTAAAAGAAAGAAAAGCAAAAGTAGATGAATTATGCATATCCAGTATATAAAATAAATTTGTATTTATGAGAAAATATATAATTTGTATTATTACTCTTATTATTAATGTTTGAAGCCAATGCAATTACTTTCGCGAAACTAAAATACCGTTTTTGTACAACTAGGATACAAACATTTACATATTTACATTGAGAATAAATACCAGAACCAATTCTACTTACATATGTATAAAAAAAAATTAATTAGTATTTTATATTTACAAATCCCATAACACAGAAATGTCATTTTGCACTGTAAAATTAATTTGTAATTTATCTAAATTAGTATACAAAAGTATTTGTGTAGTTCCAAAAGTTTCCATTCAAAATGTTCCTTGAGTGTTGTATAGCTCCTCGGACACAGTAGCATGACAAGGACTAATACGAATATATAGTGCCAAATATTTGACCCCCTGATGTCATCGAGCAGGTAAAGGCCAGGCGGAATGTGGAAACTCAATACCTGCTACACTCAATTGCATAATTTTAAGACCGCTACATATTACCGAGTTTTGACTATTTATTTGAATTTTTTTAAATTAATTTCAATTTAAAATATAGTTCATTCTATAACAAACACCGTATAAATCCACATTTCAGACTTTGCGCAAAAATTAAAAAAAAAAATTAGCGAATTGTCACCAAAATGTTACACTTTTTAATTAAGTGCAAGTTTCACGTGGGCACAAAATACCTTTTCTGTTGATGGTGTTGTTCGTTTTCTTCCATATAAAGAATTTTCTAGCATACATACTTTGTATGGAAGAAAATGAGTGACACCGTCAACAAAAAAAATTTCCAAAAATCATCGATACTAAAATTATATGGGCTATATATAAAACTGCATACACAAAAATTTTTCAAAATTAAAAAAAGGTGTAACTGAAATTAAATAATATGAAGATAAATAGTCAAAACTTGTTAATATTTGGCAGTCATAAAATTATGCCAGGAAAATCTGGCCAAAAATTTATGTAAAGCGTTCCGTGGCTATCCCTCGGTTTGACAGCCCTTTCCTCAGGCTAGTAGTCGGATTAATCCCGGACTGTGCCTGAGCGGAGCGCACGGTAAAATACTGGGTTACCGAACTGTCCCGCCCCTCTTTTTCAATTAGGGTACTCACAGTTCTATATTATCTACTGTGTTAATTTTGCCACCTGGTAACTTTAAAACATTTTACCATGTGGTAACTTTGTTTGTTGTTGGTTCCCATACTAATTAGAGATAACACTTTTGGGCAAAATTACTAGACTTTGTCTCATGTTTATGTTCTGTGTTAAACTGGCATCTATCGCTGCTTGTACATACATACATGAATTTCGCTTTGGGCGCAGCGCTGCTTGTACATAAGTTTCTCTTTGCGCCTGCCTGGAGCTGGCAAAGGTTATTTTTTTTTTTATTTTTGCGCTGTGCTAGCTGAGTATAAAAAAGAGAAGAGAGAATAGAGAGAAATATGTATGTGGTTTGTTGATGCTCTCTAAACACAAACGCGTGAAAGGCAAACGGTCTAGCAATGCGTGGTATTGTTGATCAACTTAATACTTTATTTAAACATAAGGGTTGCTCACAGTTCGAGTGTGTTATCTTGTTAAAGTTGCCACCTTTTAACTTTAGAAGTAAACTGTGAGTACCCTAAATAAGTACGTTTAAGATTGTTTAACTGACCTAAACTCGGCGAACATTCTAAATTTTCTGTGACGTATAAAAGGCACTCGGTGGTTCAACTACCAAGGGAGGGTTTCTTCACCTTATGTTGTTTGCCTGCGTGCTCTGTGCAGTGGCAGCCACTCTCAAAGCTTGAGTTTAGCGCTAATCGAACTTTTCGATTTAATTAGGGTATTCACAGTTTACTTCTAAAGTTAAAAGGTGGCAACTTTAACAAGATAACACACTCGAACTGTGAGCAACCCTTATGTTTAAATAAAGTATTAAGTTGATCAACAATACCACGCATTGCTAGACCGTTTGCCTTTCACGCGTTTGTGTTTAGAGAGCATCAACAAACCACATACATATTTCTCTCTATTCTCTCTTCTCTTTTTTATACTCAGCTAGCACAGCGCAAAAATAAAAAATAAAATAACCTTTGCCAGCTCCAGGCAGGCGCAAAGAGAAACTTATGTACAAGCAGCGCTGCGCCCAAAGCGAAATTCATGTATGTATGTACAAGCAGCGATAGATGCCAGTTTAACACAGAACATAAACATGAGACAAAGTCTAGTAATTTTGCCCAAAAGTGTTATCTCTAATTAGTATGGGAACCAACAACAAACAAAGTTACCACATGGTAAAATGTTTTAAAGTTACCAGGTGGCAAAATTAACACAGTAGATAATATAGAACTGTGAGTACCCTAACTATGTATGAAAGGAAAAATATTCCCTATTTTCAATCAAAAACACATTACTGTTTCTAGCACTTGGAAACTGCTTTCTGAAACATAATTCATTGATAAAAACGCGCACTCACTTTGGAATCAATTTATGAATGCCTCGATATATCTGTATGTGAGCTATGAGTTCAATGGCTTATAGGCATGTATGTTGTACAACAATATATGAAAAAAAAATTGTTTGCAAATTTTTAATTTAAATTATAAATCTATATTTGTGCTTTTTAGCCAAAATAACAAGCGTCTATATGAAGTTTTATAGCCGTAGGATAACGATAACGCCGGCTTTTAGTTGAAGTTTTAGTTAATAACTTGACTTAAGGCTACCAATCGTCTATGGGTACTATGGAAATCCAAAAAAATTCGATATGTTTCCCATATTTGAACGCATTCTAAGTAAATTTGCATCTTTAAATTTTTAATAGGATGGCAGGATTGAAAGTTTTTGAAAAATATCCTTTGAAGTTTTTATCCTTAATATCTTTATATATATTTTTAGAATTTAAATTTAACTGAAATTCTTCAAAATGCATTTAAAATTTAAAATCTTGAAGGATAATGTTATTAAAGGATATTTTTGACATGTTCCAAAAAGATAATTGAAAACAATAGTTATAACCAATCTTGTTTCGAAGTATTCTTTTAATTGACACCCATATATCTATATTTTTGCAAACTTTTGGACATATATTATCACTTATGGTCCTTTAGCAAAATTCCTGACTACCTAGTAAAAAACCAAAAACAAAGATTAATTAAATATTATGCCTTAGTACTGCAGGGAGTATAGTAATACAGGCTCACACTGAAGTAAAACGAGTAAATTAATAAAACACGCGAACTGCACAAAGCTTATTCTGGTAACTTTGTCCGCAAGTCAGAACGGGTTGCCGTGTTCGGAATTGCATACAATTTTATTCGAGTAGTTTCTAAGCAAAACCAATATTTAAAACGAGCGGATGTGCGTAAGAAAAAAACAAATTTGGTTTTTTGGGACAGTCTAATGTACATTTGTCTATCTTAGGTCAGCTCGTGTTAAGGGCGTTGCGCCAAATAGAGGAACACTTTTACTACTAGCATCAGTCGCTTGTGGTATCACTGCAAATGGTGGCTGCTTAACTACATATTGAATTTATCGAACTCTAAGCAACTGGAACAGCAAGACCTGTCGTAATATTTATAACACCAAATGGATAGTGTCCTGTGGATACATCCCATCAAAATTAGGATTTGCGTCTCTGAGCGCCCGAGAACGTCCCTGATATTCACTAGCCTTCGTTGAGCTCACACAAGGCTCATCCATAAAAGAGTTGCCTGGATCCAATCAAAGGTGCCCCGAATTCCTAGTGCAATATCCATTTTGACTGATAGCCATACTCATAAGTCTGAATAGGAAAGCATCTGACGGAATTGACAGAGATGTAAAGTAACCGCTGATAGCTTTGAGTGCATTGTAGGTCACGCTGCTAACAGAGGAGATATTAACTTCCCTTGAGGCTGATGATAACCTCCCTGTAGGAGTCCGCTCAACTTATCCTTTCACTAATCTTTGATTCATCTGTTTGGAAGTTTACAGTTGCCTACTTCCCTAAAAGGGATAGAAAAATACCCCATTGGCATCCGTCTGGTCACGCAGTGATTCAAATTGATCAGGCTTAATGTCGAAATCTAAGCGAATACCCAAAGCACAAATCCTGTGTAAGCTAGGCAACACTAAAGCCCTTGTTCTTGCAGTCTTATCTACGATGTCAAATGGCACTTGTTAAGAAATCCGTGGTTGATTTGGGGTGATTCTGAGTGTCCCACTTATTCCAACAAGGGCGTACCATTGTACTCCCTGCAGTTTTCCGATTAGCATAATATTCTCCATTAAACATGATGGGCTCCAAAACGTTGTCATGAGGGCAGGAAATAACTGTAAGGAACAGGTCCCTTCGCAGCATTAGACAGCACGTCTTCTACGATCTCGCTTCAATACTACTTAGCTATCATGAAGAGCTTCCCTTCTCGAATCAAATCCAAGTCAAGTGTCATAGCGGACGCCAAGAAGTTGAGGTAAAATCAACATGTTATACTCTTTTGTTTATATTTACTAGCTAAGTTCAACTTACTAGGTTTGGCCGCGGGTCAACTATTCGCAGATTGCCTAATCACCAGAATTAAGTCCGCTTGGATTATATAATTTTGGTGTTCAGAAATTTACTTTTGACTAAAAGTGCAACGACTTCAGTATATGAGATCACCAGGAAGCCACTAGTCCCCTGTTATAAACCCCTTACGACCACAATTCAAAGAAGGAGGGATGTAACACCACGGTGTGGTGTGCTCCTGCTTTCTCTATGCTGGATGGCGGCACTCACTCACCCTGCCACATACCGTGCGGTATAAAAGCTTAATTAAGTGTGTAACGACCCCAAGCTTCTTGCTCGTAGCTTCAAATTGCGATACACAAAAAAATACTTTGGGGTAGTATTTATGTTTTCTAGAAGAACAGCCGATTTCGGGAAACTAGATCCTAAAGCATAGTCGCCGTTTGAATGACAATGGTTAAAGCGCTACATTCAATGCAAACCCAATTTCTTTCGCATTTCCGTTAAAGGGAGGCAGACGAAGTGATTTTGCTTTTCCAAGGAGGAGGATGCTAAGACCTCTGCTCCAACTCAGTGCTTCATCATTTACTCGAGAGCGTAAATATTAAAAACTTTCACGGCAAGTAGAAACATTTAACGTTGATTTTGAATCGCCAATGGCGCCTCAACGCAGCAATCATTTATGCATTCATTCTTTAGCCATCTTGAAGATGTTCGTTTACTTGTCCGAATATGAAAAGTGACAGTCGCGCTGGATTTACCTTGTTGCCATTGCCATTTGCTCGAGACAATCTGCCGTTCTCGTTTTGATACAACCGTAAATAATTTTGTGCATTCATTTCGTTGCATTTATTTTGTTTTGTTGTCACTTCCCTTCACAAATTTTTGTGAATTTATGCTGCTTTTTAAGCACATAAATCATAGTAAAGCAAAGTGCCGGCGGGGTATCTGGCCATTTGTTGTGGGTAACCGCACAACCGTGAGCTGGTTTCTGCTAAATTTTTCCGCTTTCTCGCATTATTTTTTACTCTTTTCTAGCATGTTAAAACTTTTCCAGCACATGACGGCAAGGATAATGCGGCAGATACCCGGCACAAAGCAGTTGTCCTTGCACGAAGCCAGCGAAACTGGCTGCAAATTTGCTGGCTGCTGGCAGAATTGGTCGCCAGCTTACCTTCTGTCTTTGGTTGGCTTTCTTCGTTGGCCGCTTGTGATTTTTTGTTAACCGCTTGAGCACCTAGTTAGGTGTTTTTTTCTGCTTGTTGTTTTGCTCATGTTGCGGCCATTGTCAAGTTGGTTTACCTTCTGGGTGTAAAACTACAATTTAGCCACGCGTATCATCTTTCTTGTTGGAGAAATTGCATTTTCTTTCATTTATTTATTTATTCTTCTCTTATTTACTTTTATTCTTTCAACTAAATCTTGTGATTTATTTCCTATTCTCGGTAGCTATGTTGTTGTTTGTATTGCTTTGTGCGTCTATTGAGTGCAATGTTGTTAGTTTGCTTTGGCTGCTTGTTCAGTGGCCTTGTCAAATCTAAAATCCAATAATTCTGATGAATGCAAGAAAAGTTTCGAAAGGTTTTGTTGGCTTATATTTGTTGAATGTACAAGCTGGGATTGCGTGAGCAATGGAAAAGAGGTGTGATGTCGTTTTTTTTTTTTGTAGATACGATTGAGCATTATTGCTAATCATTTGACTTTCTTGCTTAGTTTACATGCGTGCTAAATTTGCAAACTAACACTGCTCCTAAGCCGTCCAAAATCACATAAAGAGATAGCTAAATCAAATAAGTAAAAAAAACTATAGTTGAAAGAACTCAACACAGGATGTTTCAAGGTAAGTAAATAGTTAGTTGAAATATTCATTCGATTGCTGGATAAACGTTTTAGGTAGAAATGCGAGAAAAGCTGCATCCAAGTTTTTAATTAGGATTTCCTCCTAGAACTTAAATATATTGTCCTTGAATGTGAAGAGCTTGAGGTGCGTGGTCGACCGTAAAATAGCCGAAAATTCTAAGATGAATTTTAAGAACTTACAGAAATTTCTAGGACCAAATTGGACTCCTGTAGATAAAATTAGTCTAGAGACCGATGTACAAAGCATGCTGAACGACACTGGAACCAATAAAGAAAATGAACCCGAGTGCTCTGTCGAGGAGGGCGAAGTCAGTGCGGTATGAGTTATACAACGATATAGGCTCAGTACAACAAATTAAAATATAGCAAACCCATTTATTTGTTGATTTAAAAGCCGCTTTCGAGAGCAAAAAAAAAGAATTACCTATATGCCGCGATGGCTGAGTTTGATATCCATACGAAACTAATGCGGCTATGTACAATGAAGTTGAGCAAGCCAACCAGTTCGGTAAGAGTTGGGAATGGCCTGCCCAAGCAGGTTGCTACCAGACTATTTTTGAGGCTACCTTTCATGTGATATCTTTAACCTACAACTGAACAGCGCAGGACAAATTTTTTACACGAGCATATAATTCCTGGCGCATATGCCGATGGCATCATCATCGCTAAAACGCAAAGCGTGTGGGACTGGTGGTGAATAAGTACGAAACGAATTATATCCTGGTCATAAGACAAAGCGTCAGAAAATATGTATTTCATATCTCACTGGGGTCACTGATGATAAGTTCGAAATGTAGACGACTTCGTTAGTTTAGGAACCAGCATATCGGCCTAAAGAAGTCCAATAAGGGCCCGTCCATCAACAGGGTCATGGCGATAGATTTTTGGGATGCGCAATCTTGCCCTCAAAAAGATACAACGACTACCGTTGAACATTTTCTGAACTGTTTTACAAATTTTCACGTACTGGCCGCAACAAAAGTTTTCTTTTGTGTATTCCTTCATATTTCCCTAAACGTCTTCACTCCAGCCGATAGGAGCGAACTCTACTGGCAACTAAATTTGTTAATAAACGCTCAGCTTGAAGAGAAAAGCAGCTGATTGTCGTTGGTGTGCCAATACATTGGAGAAAAATATCCATTAGCGGTGTTCCCGCCAAAACGATACCGTCCAATCTTAATGAGATAGAACGATGATATGACGCGAAAAGCCACAATAAGAGCATCGCCTTTTTCTCTTATCGCGCCACTTTTTTTGTGAGAAAGTCCATGGTGTTTGTTTGTGTGCGCCGTGGTGGTGACCGTGAAAGAGCCCACTTCGTTTTACAGAATTAACGGATCGGGTAGCAACAACGCCTCTTGCGGACCAGCGAGTAGGTTGCGGCCCAACTCGTAGGTGCGCGCGCCAGGGCAGAACCTAGTGAGCATTTAATAGGGAAACGTCCCTATTCTGAGCGAATAAATGCGCATTTTAGAAAGCCAAATTTGTTAAGTGGAATACCGGACGCGGCAAGCGCAAGAGAGGTACTTAGACTACAGGTGAACAGGCAGTATTTTTAAGAAACCCAAACGTTTTATTGTACTTCCTAAATTTGTCTTCTGCTGAAAAAACATAGGAAGTTCTATTGTCAAAAAATGCAAAGTTAAATGAAAATATTTCAAAAACTGTGTTCGCAAGGAGCTTACAATTTTTTTATATTTTCAAATAGCTTACAACGTTAATTACTCTTTATCCATATATTACTCAATCAGTGTATTGCTCCGGAAATTACTACAAGAAGGATATCACTACAAACCATGTAAGCTACTGAAAATGGAATGTATATCCAAATGAATATTACGAAAATACATCAACATAAATTTTTTTTCTGTCTTTGATCGTTAAACTTCGAAGTTGGTCTAAAAAAATTTTATTTTTAGTTTCCAAGCTTTTTTGAATGTTCTTATTTTTTCATATTTGACATATTTAAATCATTTTAAAAATTATTTTTAAAATTTAAGCCGTTGCATTTTTATTTTATATTCTATTATGTATTAGATATATTTGATCAAATAAGTTAATGGTAAACCACTTTAGCTTTTCAGTTTTTTTTAATTTTATGTGAATACTGTGGTTATTGTTGTCGTTAAGGCGAAACCCATTTTTTTAGAGTTTTAAAGTTCGCCACCGACATACATACAAAATTTTAAAAAAGTTTCAAAATGTTTACTTTTCAAAAATTTTTTGGCTCACTATTTATTTAATATTTAAAAAATTTGTTTCTTTATATATTTTTTAAATTATTTCTTACCTTCAATTTTTTTTTACTTAGTTTCGTTAATTTATTTATTCTTTTAATTATCTCAAAATTTCGAAATTAAATTTTATTTCATAACTGGACACTTAAATATATTAAAGTACTTAAAAAAGATGCAGCTACTCTTCATTTTTGAAATACGCTCATTACGAAAATACAGAAAAAAAAACAAATAAATATCAAATAAATCAAGCAAAACAAAGTAAACTAAAACAGAAGAAAATTATTTGCATTAATTAAATAAGGCAGCACTAAAATCAATAACTCATTGAATTAAGTTTAACAAATGCCCAATAAAACCAGAAAAGTGCAAATCCTCACCACCACTACCTGACACCGGTAGAACGTTGGAAAATATGAAAATAAAAAATGAACAAAATTTCTTACATACATCACTCACCAAGTACCACTGTTCCTTGAATAGAGGATCGGGAAATATGTTATGCGATGTAGCGGCACGATATTGAATGCGTGGAGCGCGCGACAGCAGAGGTGAACCGATACGCGCTGACGCTGTAGGCTGATATGCAAGACGGGGACCTGATGCACTAACAAAACCCCCACCTGGTCTTATCACATCATATGGACTGTAGCCGGGTAGGGTGGTGTAGGAACCGTCACGCTTTTTTCGTAACTTTTCGTGCTGTTGTTGCATCCATCGGACCTGTGTAAAAGAAAGAAAGGAGATTATTGCAATTGTTGAATATTATATACATATACACTGAGGGAAATAATGCATAGTAAAAGTGAATATTTTATATTTCATTATCGTTGGAAAATCTTCGTATCTAAAAATAATATTTGCATACCAAAGTTTAGTATGCACGTAATTAATTGCCCACATTTGAGTATGTATAAGTAAGTGTACATACCCTTCGCGAAATATATCTAACTGTAAGTCAACTTGAAGTTGATTAGGAAGGAACTAAAGGTCACTGTTATCTGTATATTTTCATTGAGGAGAGCTAACTATATTTCTATGGCGATGGCCGCGAAATAGTCTAGGGTGGTTACAATTGCATGTAAACTAACTATAGCACAATATAACATAAAATATCATAACATAGAATAATATAATATACCTCATTTTTCAGTTTTATCTTTTCCTCTATCTCTGGTTTTAACTTAACTTAATCGTTTTATGCTTGCACAATAAAATGCCAGCTTATAGTCAATATTTTGTAGTCCAAATAGTGCGTTAATTGAAAAATCGAAAAGTCATCGAAAGGGGATCGAAAAACCCGTACATGATCGTCGAGAAGCCAATGCGTCGTTAGAGAGTGAAAGTTTGGTGCGCATTTTGGAGTGTTGGCATAATCTTTTTTTTTAATGCTGCTGGAAATGCCATTTTCGTCAACGGTGTAGCCGGTGTCGTTGGCCTTTTATTGATGGCGCAGTGAAAAGCTAATATTATGCGAACAATCCCCTAACGATTCAGGCCCTTACTACAAATATCGAGCGAGCAATTCTTGAGATAGAGTGAGAAAGAATCACCAAGGCCTTGCAAAACCGGGTTAACAGGGTGTGCTACTGCGAGGCCAGTCGAGACATGTACTTGAATGAAATTGATTTCCATAAACAATGGGAATGTCTGCTCTTTTGAATAAACCAATAACATCAAAAAATAAATTGATTTTTGGTCATTTTTTGAATTTCTAAAAACAAACCACTGTATGGATCACCCCTTACTTGGATTGGGTAGAATCAAGATTCGAAAAATAAAAAGTTTACATTAGTTTAGACAGCCTTGTACTCTATTGGAAGCGCAGTAAAATAAGATGGATTAGAATTGTTTATTATTGTATGGAATAAAAAAAGTAATAAAACAATATCGGGTTAAATAACCTCTTTGTTATTTGCAAAGAAGTAAGTGAAGAATTTTTGATGATTAATTTATCACATACGTTTTTTGAAGCCTGTTCAAGGTCATCGTTAAAAGCAAAATTATTTTCTTGAAAAATATTATTTTCTTCTTATTGCATCTCTCAGTTGAGCCAAAGCATTTTGTGTGCGCATCCCCATCTCGTAGATATTAATTTTGTGAAAATATATGCTATTCAAATTTAGGCAGCAGTATTAGAAAATTTATGGGTATCACAATTTTCTGGCTGCTTTGCTATTTAATGTGGCTTCTACTTAATATGGTTGCAGCGGTATAATTTTGAAATTTATAAAAAACAAGGTATGAATACCCTGTCTCCCATAATTCAAGTTGAGTTTGATTTCTCAAACAGCTGGCAACCCTACTACATAAAGCCTTCTAAAGCTCGTTTAAATTCATACCCCTATTGTAATAACTAACTTAACTTATTTAATAATTTTATTTTAATTTAGTTTAAAAACAGTTGGCAACCCTCTTCAAATACCTCGGAAACTCTACATGTTCAAACTAAAGATGTCCAAACACCCTTGCATTTGAGACTTTAACTTGTGTATAATTTTACTAAATTTAAGTTTTCAAACCGGTGGTAAAACATTTCTAATGTTTTTTTTTTTTAAACTACAATCTTTTAAGACATCTTTCGGCTGTCCCCTAAATTATAATAGAAATTTCAAATAAATAATTTTTTAATAATTATTGTTGAATTTGATTTCTAAAACAGGTGGTAGTTCTCTTTCAGGTGTATGGAACCAATTTTATATACCTGTCCAGTGCTCTACTACAAATATATTTTGGCTGAGATATGATAAAATAAATCCTATGTTTTAAGTTGGGCTTCATGACACCAGTGTGCAAAATTTTATATATTCCAATGAGCAGTTAAGCGTAAAACACAAACAAATTCACTTTAGAGTTTAGGATATTAATAAAGATTAAGGATTAAGGATTAAAGCTGTTAGTTGCCAATTAAAACAACTGCTATATAATTTTCATAAGTACTCACCTGCGGTTCGGAATTTAAGGCGCTATGGTGCTCG